TTATTATATATATAACACACACACACATATATATATATATATATATATATATATATATATATATAAGTATAATATATATAATATATATATATATATAAAGTAGAAAAGAAAAAGAAAAAAAAATGAAAAGAAAAAGAAAAAAAGAAAGATATTTCTGTATGCTATTTATCATTTATTGGTGCTTGAGCAATTTTTTGTTGCGATTAAGGCACTGCAAAAGATTGATCCTTCATAAAAAGCTACTGATCTTCAAAATCCGCGATCCGTTAAGTTAAAGAAGCAATGGCGTAATGTATGAAGATCGAGAGTCATCGGTGATTCAATATTGAAGTTACCATGTAATAAGGCCCAGAGAGATAGATCGAGAAGACTCATTTTCCCTCCGATTACTTCATTCAACAACTGTAATATATGTAAATATATTAATAAAAATAAGACACATGATTAATATTATGTAAAAAATAAATTGGAAGAGGATACATAAAAGCAACATATATACTATTAAAAATAAAAACTTGCATTCCTAAATAATAAAAAGTGTTATAAACATATAATAATGAAACAGAACATTGAACTTCTGTATTTGTCTATCTGTAATAAATTAAGGAGAATTCAATTAAATCATTATTCTTAAAAATCATTTAATTTCAATATCGAGGTTTAATATTAATATACAAATTAATACTAAACCTATAATGAAATCATTTGGTTGTATAAAATGTTCTTTTTAACATATATTGTTCTCATCAATGACTTTATGAAATATCCTTAAGTTAATTTTCCTTTGCAATGCCTTAAAAGGGCAATGTAAACTTATATAAGTCTTAAATACTATATAATTACTTATCAATAGCTCCATCCATTATATTGTTTTTAACTTGAATGCTAATGTGTATTCCATCTCCAGACGCACCTTTATCTTTTTTTGTTTGTGAGTTGGATGCATTATCGAGACCCAGCTTACTTAAAGTACATAAAGCTTTCAATGCTGCTTCGTTACGACTCGCAGTTCTCGTTGGCCCATTACCATGACAAACTTGTGGTGGATCTGTACTTAATGTTACAAGTGATAGATATTCTTTATTCACTGCTCCCTAGAAACATATTATTAATTAATTATTAATTTATTATTTCATATTGATTTATTTTCTTTATATGTAAAATACTATTTTTAATATTTTAATACTATAATATATGATTATATATATTTTAAAGATTTTAATTACCTTTGGAAAATCATTAAATTCCACGCTGAAGTTAAATAATTGAGAGAGATATTTTAATTGATCTTTGGGAGAAACAGTAGGTGGATTTTGTTGTTGTTGTCCTCGTAATTCTTCGGCAACAATTTGTACACTAGGTCCGCTGCCTAATTTAGATTCCTGACCTCCATCCACTAATAGAAGTCCAGGTACTAACTGACGTCCAATAGTTCCTGATTAATATCAATAATCATAATAATATTAATATCAATAAATTTTTAAAATATTCATATATAATAAATTACATATAATTCTTGAATTTTTAAAATTTGCTTTTTATAATTTACATAAAATGAACAGCATAACAATTTTTATATATAAATTAATTTTATATTAAATTAATCTTACCTCCTACTGGTGGATGAGATTGGGTTTCATTAATTTGTTCATCTTCTAAAAATGTGACTTTCCTAGGTTTTTGTTCAGTATTTTCACTTTCTCCTGTTTTAATCGATGGCTTAGTAGGTTGTGGTTGAGGTTTACTGTAACCTAATTGCGCTAAAAGAGCCTCTGCTGCAGCTCTTTTAGCTAACTTTTTATTTGGACCAATTCCTTGAGCAGAATGTTGTCCCATAGTAACTTCCATAACGAATTCTTTTCGCCTTGGTGCTCCTTTTTCTTCAATTAAATTATAGACAGGTTCCTTTTCTCGTTTAGCTTGTTGTATTTGATCCAATCGCGAAACAGGATTAACTTCTTCTGCAGCATCAGTTTCAGAGCGTGGTTCTTGATAAACTTTTATAAGATTTCGTGACTTCTTTTTTGTTGCCGGTGGTTTACGTTTTACTCGAACAAGACGATTTTGTATAGTTTCTGGCAACGGAGGTAGACGATTGAGTTCTTCTAACATAAATTCAGCTGCATGTTCTTTGATACCTACATATTAAATCACAAATATTAAATTCAGTATGCCTTATGTTGACAAAAAAATTAAAAAAAAAAGAATATTATATTTATGAAAAGCTTACTTTCTTTGAAGGTCCTTCTCCTAATGTAACTTTATCTCCAACAGTGCACTTTGTCCTGAATGTTCGAATATGAGGTTTACCAATTTCTGATACAACTTCGAAACTAACAGGTAAACCACGTTTTAATGCTTTCTCATGAACTAAAGATACAGGACTTTTCAATTCTGCAATTGGATCTTTAGCTTCACCTAATGTACCATTTTCACCAGTGTTACAAGAATTTGCTACTTCTTCCGGTAATGGTAATTGACGTAATTGTTCTAAAGCTTTACTCGCCGCATCATGTCGCGCTGCTTGACCTGTCAGACCTCTACCAATAAATTCACGTTCTCCTACCTATAAATTAATACATGTAATAAAATTTTATATTAGAATTTTCATTATTTTCTTACCTTTAAGGATACAAGATATAATTGAGGTTCTGCATGAAAACCACGATTATAAGTAGGAAAACGTGGATTAAATATTCGAGGAAAATGTCCTAAACTATTTGTAACATATTGTTGTAATCCTGCTGGTGGAGCTTGTCTAAAAGTATAGACAGTAGCTTCTCCTCTTTTCATAGCCAAAGCATTTAATTCAACAGTTGGGGGTAAATTTCCTATAATGAAAAATATAAATTTTATAATATTTATATTCTTTATATTCTTTAATACAATAATGCATTTTTTTTACCAGGACCACTAAAACATTTTCCTGGATGTCCAGCTCTCATCGTCTTTGTAGGTTTCGGCGGAGGCCGTTGATACCAAGTTTTTGTTAATGCTTCAGTAGCAGCGCTGTGCTGAGCTTTTTTTATGCTAGGACCTTCAGCAACATATTCTTCCTCTCCTAATTTTAGTGTTACTGTAAATCGTTTTTTGTGCGCTGGTCCTTGTTCATTAGTCAATCTGTATTGATGTTGAATTTTATTAAAACGTGCTAATTCATTCAATAAGCACATTGGTGTTTTTTCTTTCATGTTTGCCAAAGCTGAATCAGTCACGTTAATATGATTTTGAGTAGGTGGACTCTGATCTCTGGACTCTCCATTTTTTGTTCATTTGTAACAGGTTTATTTGATTCTATGTTTTGCGGTTGTTGAATATGTTGTGGAGGCGGAGGATTTCGTTGATTGTTTTGTTGTTGTGAATACTGTGGTGGTGGTACATTAGGATTTTGTAGAGTCACAGAAACAGTATTTGTCTGATCTTTTAGACTGACGCTAACCATGGTGCCTAAAAAAAAAAAATCAGAATTTAATTTTCTAATCATGCAAATAATTTATTAATATGTTATAATACCATTTAAAATACCATTCGTATTATGTGCATTCATGCCCATCAACATTGGTTGTCTTGGATTTCCATGTGGTGGACCAGGGTGCTGCATATGATGAATATGTTGTTGATGGGGGGGCATGGACAGTATTTGTTGATGTGGATTCCGATGCGATAACGGATGCTGAGGCTGATGTAAAGGGGCCATATTTGCCTGTTGCATAGGACGCATCGGACCACCCATTCTAATGAAACATTAAATAAAACAAATACAAATATATTAATTTTTAATTTGAATAATATAATTATTATATATTATTACATATAAAATAACTTAACCATATAACTAACTATAAATCTAAATATATGTTATATATTTATATGTAAATTATAAAAAAAAAACTTCATATATTATAATAATTATAACAAACCTATTATGATCTCGAAGTTGGTTTTGCATTGCGTGATGTTGATGGCGTAACATCATGTAAAAAAAGTGATGCAAAACCTAAAATTAATAAAGATATTAATAAAAATAAATGAAAGATATAAAAAAAACTTACTAAAAACTAAAAAAGTTTAGATTCTGTTCTAATTTATTGCATTAAAATTTATAATGAAATTTTCTTGTAATGAACATTCTAATATAAAGAAAATAAATGCTAATTTATTAATACATTAAATATTAAATATAATGAGATAATTTATATTTAAACAATAAAAATATGATTTTTAATAAAATATTTTGTTATTTATGTTAAATCAATATATTTTTAAAGTGACATAATTTTAAAAACAATAACTACGTTACATATGTATTTGACAGTAGTTGCAAACATATATCATATCATGCATATTATGAATTGAATTTAAATAATTTATTTGTAATTAGTACGTATAACAACTTCATCATAGAAGAAGAATTTTTATTCTCTAAATGAACTAGTCAATAGCTAATGGGCTTGGCCCGGCTATTTGGCAGCGGAACTATGCGGTTGAATTTTCTTACCGAAGTTTGTTCTATTTCACGAAAATTTTCAGATTATTCAACAGCGAAATTTCCAGCGAAACAGATCTGCCACTTAAGGGAACACTGCCAGGCCCTTTATGCGGCTATTGGCAAACAGTAAAGAAAATCGTCTGTAGACTAAAATGCGGCCATTTTGATGTGAGCCTCTCGGCCACCGTCTCTCATCCCTTCCAAAGGATATCCTACTTGCCGATTTTTTTAAAAGTCTACAATATCGATTATAATTATCGATACTTCTCGTTTCTTTAAATTATAAGTTTTTAATAGTTTTTGCGTTTATTGTTGTAATTTACGAATTATAATAATAAATAAATATTTTTATTCAATACATTAATTTAGTTAATAATAATAGTTAATACTCTTTATTATCAATAAAGCTTTTTCAGAATAGTATAAAGATAATGTCATATCATAGATTCAAATTTTAAAATCAAAATAACGGAAATAATGATTATTTACTTTCATGTTATTAATTGAGATTTAATCAATGCTATTATTAATATGTATATATATTTAAATTTAATTAATATTTCAGGAGAAATAGAAAATAAATTTAATAATAAAGTCAGTTTCATATGTTACTGATTTCATGTAAAACAGCATAATTAAATACTTCAAATGAAAATGCTTCATATAAAAATATCAGAATTTTATATATATATATTTTCTATTATAAATATACAATCTATTCATTTACCAAATATAATAAACGACTATTAACTTTTTTTAAATATTAAAACAAATGTTAAAATATTATAATATCGATTTCTTTTATTGAATAAAATTGAATAATGTGACATATATATAATATATACTATAAATTTTGATTGAGTATATAATAAATTTTTATTTTTAAATAATACGAAAAGAACTTATGTAATTATTCAATATATAAAATAAGATTGTGTATAAAAATTGTTTAATTAATAATTATTTAAGATAAAATTTAATTAAATGATTTTTATAAAAAGTCATCTATATATTATTGTGATGTATAAACTATTAGTTTTTATATTTTTTTTATATAAATTATTTTTATTTATCATTTTAAACTAAAATGAAAATTAAATTTATAATATTATTGATAATTATAATTTATTATTTATATAATATGAATAGATAAATATATATAAACACAACCTATATATTCTATAATTTTTTTTTATATCTTTTACTTAAAAATAAATTTTATATGTAAATAAATAATTTTTATAATATATTTAATTTATCATTATCATATTTAATTTAGATAAAAGTAACAGACCATAATATGTTTTAATTTTTTCGATTTATTTTTTTAAACTTCATATTTTTTATCTTTAAATATAAACGTAAAAATGAAACAATTATTTCAATATATTTTGTTAATAATAATCATTCATATATACTTATTTACAATAGTATTGTACAATATGAATATATTAATATGTTAGATACAATGAAAAGATAAATAATTAAGTATATTTTGAAAGATGCAATAAAAATATATATATATATAATTAATATATAATTAATATTATATAAATATAAAATATTACAATATGAGTTAAACTTAGAGGTAAATTGAAGATATGTATTGAAAAAAAATTATCATCTTAATTTAATGGACTGTAGGGCATAAAAAATTATGAACACTAATATTTTTCTAGTCTTTTCTTTCAAAGTATATAATTTAGTCTTTTTTTTAATGTGCAAAAGTATTAAATTTATAATTTTATATTTTTTCACAAATTCATTTTTTGTGAAAAAAATTACAAACAAATACTTGTTTATAAACTTACAAGATGCATTATCTTAATCAAAATAGTACACAGTATTTTTTTACAGTTTTGACATTTATAATTATCTTCAACTAATCTGTTTCAATAAATATTGATACATTAAAAAATTACAATTTTTTAAACAAAAATTTCATAATTATATTATTTATTCTATTATAGTTTTTCTTATCAACTACTAATTCATTATAGAATCGCACTTTGTGTTATATTCATTCAACTTTCTTATTAATTTCTCTTTGGAGCTAATAAGCGTGTAGCATCATTGTCTTCAAGACTCAGCTAAGCTCCATTATTATAAAATAATTTATTAAACATTTAACGGTTTTAATTAATAAATACTATTTGAAATACAATTTCACTACTAAATTTACAAAGAGCAGAATATAGATATTTAGTGTCCCTGTAAAAAATTTCAGGTTGATTATCTTACTTAAAAAATATTATTTAAATATAAAAGGGCAATAATTATAATCTTTATATCAAAATGTATTTGGAAAATAAAAAAACAAACCCTTTTATATTTAAATTTGATTAATTCATTTAGTGATATAGATGATATGTTATAATATATTAATATATCTCATAAAAATTCTTTCTATTTTCATATAAATAATGGCGATGATTAAAAAGTAGTTGAAATTGCTTTATATATTTTTAGTATACATACAATATTCATGATTTAATTAATTCATCAATAGGTAAGATAATCTTCCTGATTATTTAATTTAGGACAATCTAATTAATATTTGGTCAAATCACTATTATTCCTTATAAATAGCAACAAGTGATTTTGACATTAATTATTTATATAAATTATTGTTATTATAATTTTTTAACTCACTTCTATTCAATATAAAAGAACTATAAAATATAATAATAAAGTTTATTTATGCTACTTTAAATGTGATTTTTCTTATTCTTCTTTTTAATTTTTTTTAATGCACTGTTTATATTTTATAATTACTGAAACAAAATTATTGAAGTGAGTTAAAAATAAATACATTTTTTTTATGCTAATTTTCAATAGCATTAGGCACTGTCAACCCTTCACTGAAAATGTTTTAGTAAATTCCATTCTTAATAAAATTAGAAAATCCAATTCTCTTGTGATAATTTTCACTCACAAACAACATGCATTCAATATAAAAAAAAAGTATTTATCATGATGAAACAATTTCTATTTTTATATTTTAATTTAACAAATTACATGATAAAATAGTATATTTTTTCTACTTACAAAATTTGAATGTTTACAACCTCTTTTTAAACAGAAGATATGTATTAAATTTTTAAATTTATTTTTTCATTTTATAAAAAACAGATTCAAAGTTTAATTTTTATAATATTAACAACATTCATAACTAAACTTACAAATCATGTTGTATTTTAATGAATTTACTTTTTATCTACATTTATATGCTAGATCACAATACTGTACACTAAAATTTAAAAAAAAAAAAGAAAAACATAATTAAGAAAACAATTGTTTTAATTTATTAAAAACTTAAGTAGAGTTGGCAGAATTATGTTATTCGATTGTTAAAAGTTGTACTTTTTCAGGATGCTATATTTACATCAATTTATTTAAAAAGTAGCAGAATTTAAGTAAATTAGAGCTATATATATGTATATATATATATATATATATATAGCAATTGTGTATATATATGTGTGTGTGTATGTATATATATATACACACACACATACATCATATATACACACAATTGCTAATTATTATTTCCAAGAATATCTCAAATGCCTGCATTTGAGACTGAAGATTTATATAAGTTGCATTTTTTTATGGAAAAAAGATATAATAGAATTTTCTATAAATAATATATTTTTCTATAATCAAATATCAAAACCAAGAATTAAAAAATTATCATACCTTATATTATACATTGGCAATTATTTTATAATCAATTTATATTAAAGATATTAAATAATTAAATAGAAGAATATTAAATATAAAATTATGAGTATTCATTAAACGAATATAAGAGATTTTTTATATTGCAAGATATGAACCATAAAAATCATATGTTTATAAATTTATTAGATTTTTGCTGAGAAAATTTTATTGTCGCAACAGCAGAATTTAGTAAATTAGAGCTATATATATGTATATATATATATATATATATATAGCAATTGTGTATATATATGTGTGTGTGTATGTATATATATATACACACACACATACATCATATATACACACAATTGCTAATTATTATTTCCAAGAATATCTCAAATGCCTGCATTTGAGACTGAAGATTTATATAAGTTGCATTTTTTTATGGAAAAAAGATATAATAGAATTTTCTATAAATAATATATTTTTCTATAATCAAATATCAAAACCAAGAATTAAAAAATTATCATACCTTATATTATACATTGGCAATTATTTTATAATCAATTTATATTAAAGATATTAAATAATTAAATAGAAGAATATTAAATATAAAATTATGAGTATTCATTAAACGAATATAAGAGATTTTTTATATTGCAAGATATGAACCATAAAAATCATATGTTTATAAATTTATTAGATTTTTGCTGAGAAAATTTTATTGTCGCAACACACATTTTCTAATTTTTCACAAAAAATGAAACATATTTCTACCAACTGTACAGTAACAAAACGAGAAAAAACGAGAAAAAAGGAGTATGAAAATCATATCTCCTTGGTTGACAGAATGCTATTTTGTTTCATTAGATTTAACAATTATTATCACTTCGCGCCTTGGCAACATACATTCTTAAATACTAATACGTTCATCGCTTTATAGATGTACGACTTGCTTTTATTGGGGTATCTTATATCCCTTATACTTTCTGTATCATTCAATGAATTCTTATTTTTGTTATCAAAATAATGCCCGATTAAGCAATGAATTCTTAACTTATTTTTGTGGCACCATTGTGATTCACTTTATGATTTACAGTCCAGTTATCTTCTTGTACAGTTTTCAAATATTCTTCTAGTAATGATGCCAAATTACGCCTTTTAAATCGTAATGATTCTTTTACAATATCTCGTAAAAATGCAAGTCGTATATCTAGAGTTCCTTGAATTTGATGTAAATGTGAAAATAGTGTTGCATAATCTGAAACAAAATTATAATTATTGATATTGATTGTTTTATATAATTTTTTTTTTATAGTCTATAGATATATATTTAAAAAAGTAACGAAAATATTCATTTCAACTTACTTGTACCTCTTCTTCGTACTTCTTTGTATACAAGTTCTCGAACAGATAAATTATGCCTTCTAATATCTTCCAATTCTTTTTTTGTTAAAACTTTATCTTTTTCTATTTTTTCGTGTTTTTCTTCAACATGATTAGACAATCGTTCATCAACCAAATTTTCAACTTTCACACTATTTTCAACACAATCATTAGGAGGTAGTTTGTTACACT